ATATGCAGACAATAATTTCATTCCACAAACATGCAGAAAGTGCACACGCATAGACACATTTCTATTACAGTAAATAAAGTTCATTAACCCCTGCTAATTAGCAGCAACACTATAAAGCCTTTCTGTGAGAACAAGACAGGGAAAGGATGAATTAAGTATGGGGGGAAGTAAACAAGTGTACTGGGAACAGAGGAGAAGGGGAGGAGGCTCGACAGAAGGGCAAAGAGGTGAGGGAGGACAAGAGGAAAGCAGGGAGGGCACTGGGGCATGGTGGTGAGGAGGAGGGAGGAAAAGATAGAGGGAGACAGATGGAGGAGTGGGGGGGACATGGAGGTGGCTGAGGTGCAGGTCTTTTTTAAGACTGAAACTGGAGAAGTCAAGAGGAAGCTGCTTTTGATATAGGAATAGTTCAATATTTTGGGAAATGTGGTTGTTTACCTTCTTCTTAGGAGTGAGATAAGAAGATCGATACCAATCTCAGGTCTGTTTGTGTAGCACCAAGATGGAGTGAGGATTTGGTTACCCTAGCAAAGCTTAAAGACTGGCAGCTTGGAAGAAAAAAAAACTCTAAATTGGGGTTATTTGCAGAATGTAGCTTTAACTGATACATGAACAAATGAGGAGTAGTTTATTTGTCCACCTACTCCTTCCAGCTTCTGGTCTCCGTACAGGCAAATCTGGCAACCTTAGAAAGAGGGTGGCTCGTTGGATGATTGAGAGAGTTGGATATGGCATTGCAAGTCAGCCTTGTTGACCTGAGGAGGAAGCCATGATACTGCAAAATAAAAAAAGATAAAAAAAACAAACAACCCAGGTGATCAATTTTCACTCAAATGAATGGTTCGCCCTAAGGAAACCTGAGGATAATTAGACATAACCCAAAATGTGACACAGCCAACACTGGCACTAGCCTGATGCACCACCAATTAACAAGGTTTTCCACACACACACACACACATCAGAGACCTGAAACAATAATACTCATCCTAATTTGACTGAAAATAAATTGCAGCCTCTAATACTGAGAACTGGCAGGACCTCAGGTTTTACTTATTCCGCCTAAAACCACAAATTGACATTTTTACAATTATATTTATGTACAGAATAAACTAACAAAATACAATCTCTTGATAGTATTATTATTTAGTTTGCTTCTTGATAGTGAAGGAACTTTTAACAGTGAGTATAGTTTCTGGATGATCTAGTTCCCCACTGGCGTCCAGGCTGTATGCTATGATAAACACACCCTGCTGCAGATCTGAGCTATGAGAGTAATATCAGTATCCTCAGCTAACTTTCAGAAACATTTCAAATAAAAGTTTTTTCAAAGTCAACCGGTGTTGAACCATTTACTCCTCTTTTTTCCCCCATCTGTGGAAAACTCTCGAGTTCCTCACACTTCCTCTGCTGTCTCACTGGCTTCTTCTCTCCCATTTTTCACAAACACACACACACAGTTTCCCACCTCGTTTTATCACTCACCCTCCTCTGCATACCCTTATCCATCCATCTTTTTTCTCCGCTGCCTCTCCCTCTCTAGACTTGGTATCCCAGTCAGCCTTCTGTTCTACCTCTGTGTTCTCACCTTGTTGCTGGCAACCAAAGTGTAAATTGTGTTGCTTTAAATACCCGTGTCTTCAACGGGCTTACAGCATGTGGGGGAAGTGGTGAAGTGGTTGTGAGGAGAGAAGAAGAAGAGCAAGCCACAGTGTTTAACTTAACGTCTGCTAGGGATAGATAGATCTCTCCTTTCATTTTTGCAACTCGGGTGTTTAGCCTGACTTAACTGTTTAAACTCTGGCTGAACTTAATTTCCCCCCTTTAACTTTGCTCTTAAGTAGCTTCAAAGAAGAACAGCTATATCTTTATCTCCGGTTTATAGGGGTCATGTGCTACTTGCAGCTGACTCCATCTGTGAGCATATGAAGCAGTTTGGACCAGTGGGTGGGCTGGGTGTGCAACATTTAGATGTGGCATCAAATTTATCAACCACAGAAACTTTTTATTATCTTATTTAGATTAAATAGTCTAGTATCTCTTAATGTCCACAGCAGTTACTCCACCCTTTTCACCAATAATGACAGCTTGAGTGGGATTGAAATACTGCTAAAAGATTCATAAATTATCCCGATTCAGTTGTCCACACAGGGCTAGAGCTAAATTTAACCAAGCATTCTTGTTGTTATTGTTTGACCAACAGGGGCAGCAAGGTTGCTGCCATACTCATATTTTGTACAACATCAGTTGATTTGTATGCATTAGTGCAGCTTTAGAAGCGCAGTGCTGTTTAATCACCTTATGCTCCATAAGAGTGAGAGTAAACTTTTCATGAACTTGCATTACGTGATACAGACACGTAACCCATCACAACCACTGTCTGATCTGGTTGCCACTGAACTCCTCTCTCTAATGTTTACGTTCAGATTTACCCTGCCAGTCTGTGGATCGAGTCTGCAATTTTCCACAGATCCTTTCCACTCTTAAGCCACATTCTAATAATTTGAAATGTAAAAGATAAATGAGAAATGACCAAATAATAAACAAACAAATGTGTAGACATGACAAAAGCCACTACATTTCTTCCTCCTCAACTTGGCTGGACCTGAGGATGGTTCATAATTTATTACAAGGGTAAGGTTAGTCTGAGTCTATGAGCCCTTGGTTTCCCAATTTAGATTTGTTGACAGGACTTATAATCATTCACAGCTCGGTCTCACAGCACAATGTGTAGTAACTATGTCGGTCCACCGCGTAAAACGTTGTAGTGTCACAGTAACGGCTGTAAAATTGTGACTTGGCAACGTTTGTTGCATTGCAGCCAAGTGTCCTTCTTTGAGGTCTTCTTCTTGATGTTTTATAGTTGTCATAAGAGGAACAGGCGCATCACCGCCACCCACTGTGGAGATGGAAAGTGACATAGTGCGTTGAAAACAGGGTTTAATATCAATATCTTATGCCAAAATATTATGGCCTATTACAAAAAAGTCTGAGTCCCCGTCTCCAACTTCCAAGTCCGAATACAGTCAGTCCTCGAGTCAGAGTCATCAACTCCGAGTGGAACCACGAGTCCTGAAACTCTGAACTCGAGTTGGACTCAAGTATTACAACACTGACCAGCGCAAACATCCCACTGAGCCTCAGTCACAAGTTGTTCCTGGTCATAGGTGCCAGGAGTCTGTGTTAGACAGAGATACGAAACAAATTTGGCTAAACCACTGTGGTTTTGATTTAGACAGTCAATTTACCCAAAGTGTTCCGGTCAAATAGAGAAGCTCTGGCGATCAGCCGCAAGAATTAGACCAGGATGCTATTAAAGGAGATACTAATCCTTGGAGCACTTGACCACAGATTCAGCCCTTAGGCATCATAGTGTTTAAATAGACTAACCACAAGGTCAAGGCTGCATTAAAACACCACAGACAGTGAAAGAGCAACTTACTCTGATACGCAAGGATCTGGAAGTCTCAGAAGGCCATTTGAGTTCTTCCAGCAAATGTAGCTGTACCTTTAAGAGCTGCTATTGCCCTGACTCCTCTCGGCCCACAGGCAGTCTTTAGACTTTTTTCTTTTCTAATAACTGATGTTTTATGAAATGCTGAACTGGTCATCAGCTTTAAAATGATAAAAAAAACGATATTGCCTGTTGATCTTAGCTCATGTTCTGCAAATGTGCTTGCTCGCCTCCTCTTCTGCATCCCCTTTTCTTGTGTCTCCCCCTCTTCCATGTCTTGATGGGAGTTCCGCTGAAGCACACTTAAGCAGATGTTCTTCCTGCAGAAAAAAAAAATCTATTCCACCGCCAGTGCAAGGATGTGATAACACTCCACACCGATTATAAACCTGTCTCCCATTTGACAATTTGGTTCCAATTAAACTATTTATACACGCCATATTTTCAGAAGTGAGGAAATGGCTTTGAGGCATAGCTTCTTGTGAGATGTTCCCTCACTTGGTTTGGTCTTGTTGTCATTTATGCCATATTTTTGTCTTGCTTGAGATTAGGTTGGGCACTGGCATGTTTTGAAGTAAGCAGGACGGGAAGAGAGCACAGACCATGGCTGGGTGCACTCAAGGCCACAATAGCTTGTCACTGCAAAAGTGCTGCAGTGACTGTGTTCAGTTTGACTTCCCATAACAAGGGGCTGCATATTTTACTATACATCTTTTTTCTGATTTATGTAATATTCTGCCACCCTACTGAATGCAAAGAGCAGAATTAGCCTGTGCCATCACCCGTTATCAAGAGAGCGCTGTTAAATACCATAATTTGAACAAATTTGAATACTGTTCCACACCCAGACAGGTCACTGTTCAGTGATGTTTGTGCTGTTCCAGTTTCAGCTCTAGCCTTCAGAATCCCTTCATTATGCTTGGTCATTTGTATTCTCTTTCTCTTTGCCTCTGACCTGCTCATTTCCATAATGCCTGTCCCATTTGAGCTTGTTCTGTACCAGCCGATACATATGCATGGAGGAAAAACCTGACACAGATATTGACAAAAGAGGGTTAGAGTGCCATTAGAAGTATGGGACAGTGCTCTTGTTGTTGCTTTGACCTGTCGAGAGCCACTGTCTGCCAGGGTCTCTTCATCTTGGCTGGTCCCTCGGGTTGTGCAGTCTCTGGATGCCAGGGATGCTACTGACTCATCGCTCTTACATCGGCCTCGCAGACATACAACTAGATAGCCATTTGTCTGCTTTTTTTGTCCCTCTGACAGCATGTCCGTGTGTGTACGTGCATTGTGTCTGTGCTTTCAGAAAGACAGATAGAGATATATAGACAATCTGACAAGCAGAGAAAGGGATGGGCGGGGGGAGATATAGAGAAAGAGAGAGCGCGAGGCGAGTAATGCATTTTCTGAGGGTTTATCTAATTTGGGTGTTTGCATGTGCTACTATTTTTGCTTGTAGTTTCATATAAGCACAGTGTCTCTGACTTGTCTATGTAGCTTGACTATCTCTGTCTTATGCTTTTTTTTCTCCCTCTCTCCTGTCATCTAGACGAAGACCCCTTGCAGCCATTGACCTCAGATGAGACAGTGTCCGTGGGGGGCACGGTGACACTGACCTGTCGGGTGGCCGAGAGTGACAACTCCTCGCTGCAGTGGTCCAACACTGCACAACAGACCCTGTACTTTGGAGAGAAGAGAGGTGAGAGGGAGGGATGGATAGGGAGAGACATGGGAAGCAGGGACAAAAAGAAACTATCTCACAAAATATATTCAAATACTGCTAATTTGCTTACATAACATAACATAAATTCTATGCCTAGGTTATGGTCACTGGCAACATTTTTTCCAGTTCATTTCTATACCAGAGATGTTGAAAGTAGCAGACCTTTGACAACAGAAACGACACTGTTGAAAATAATTGATTTTGGTTTGGACAAAGGTCATAGTTGTGGTCAAATATTGAAAAAGTCAGCGCTTCTCTTTGTGTGCTTTGTGTTGTTTGTTGCAATCGTTAACCAATTAAAACCACAATCCCTTTTATCCCTAATCTCGACTGACTGCTTTGAGTTGCTTAAATGTAACCAGTCGACCTTTAACTTCCAGGAGTGATGGTGTAGGGAACTGGTGCCCGCCCTGACGCTACTTTACTCCGC